TTGCTGTACCAGTTTGGGAACCATAGAAAATCTTCACTCCGGACACAAAGATTTCCTTCTTTTGAAGGGAGATATAACCATTTGTCATCAAATCCTGACTTGCTGTTGGAACAGATTTCTCTCGTGAATTCCTGTCCTTGAAGATAAATGATTGCATAAAAATCCATCAATTCCATATCTTTTCCCAACTTCAGAAAGGATGAAAATTAGCACATATACCAACAACCCACTTATTATGCTCTTAATCTTTCTAGTTGTACTCCTCAATAATTAACCCCTTAGTATTATGAGGTCCTTTAACAGCAATACCCACATTTTTAAAAACAATTGTGCTTACCATTCACCCCAGGGTAAAACTACACATACTTTCATCCAGAATGTATTTTAGTGCAGTAACAGTAAGAACTTACAGATTTGTCTTTCATATAAAAAGTTCATTTTTCATCCATAATGTATTTTAGTGAAGTAACAGTAGGAATTTATTTTCTGATACTTAATCAATGGAACATAAAGAGAGGACTACTACCCCTTAAAGGTACAAAACAGATTTGTCTTTCATATACAATGTTCATTTTTTGCTGGGTATAGCGGCTTATGCCTGTAATCCTAGTGCTTTGGGAGGTGGTGGTGGGGGGGGGGTTGATTAAAGCCAGGAGTTGGAAACTAGCCTGGGCAACATAATGAAACCCCATCTCAAAAAAAAATGTTTTTAGAATTAGCTGAGAGTAGTACTACATGCCGATCGTCCTAACTACTCAGGAGGCTGAGGTAGCGACATCACTTAAGCCAGGTGTTCGAGGCTGCAATGAGCTAGGATTACACCACTGCATTCAGGCCTAGGCGACAGAGACTTTGTCTCTAAAGAAAAGAAAAAGGTTCATTTTTCATTACAAAAATCTTCCTAAATCTTAAGAATGAGACATTCATAGCTTAAAAAAAAAAAGTAAATAATTTACTCCATAACAACTTAGTCTCTAAAAACATAGGACAGAAACGTATTTTAGAAAACACAAAAGTGATTTGAAGTTCCTTTTAGTTTTCCTATATTGTTCTGCCTTAGAAAATCTGCACTCTATAATTTTCTATTAAAAAAATGTTTAAAAAAAAACTTCACTTACCTGCTTCTTGATAATAATCTGGATACAAATCCAAAGACTAA